TCAAATATAACTACTAGGAACGGGTGGGAGTGTGGTGGGAGAAGCTTGCTATCTCCCTTGCACTTAACAGAATTTATGAACTACGTACGTACGTACGACAATGGCTGTTAGTGTGATCTTTTTTTTTTGAAAATTTTCCCCTTCCATAGCACTAGGTGGGTTTCACAACTTGTTAGAATTGTGGGAAATTTAAATATAATCTCTATTGTTTAGAGTTTAAAAATCGGTTCAGCGTTATTACCAAGTGAGTGCTGTCACTTTCTTGGTGTAAGCAATAAAATGAGATAACACGTATCTTTAAATGATAATACATTTATTTGACGTCTTTGAGTATTGCTAATAACGTTATATTTGCGATGTGTTGTCGCATCGCAGAATTATATTCTACATCTTAATATTGTTTAGATGTGATTATAAAAGTCTGAGCATTACATTAGCTTAACTATAACATTCTAATCACAATTATGATATGTTAACCAATTTTATATAATTCTTAATTTACGATTAGCCGAATACATTAAATAAATGTTACAATGCTAAATTAAAATAAATTTAAGTAAGCTCGTTATAACTAAAATTAATTTGATCTAGAGATTACCTGTAAACATATTAATATACAAGATGTTTATACAGTGGTGTTGCCAGATAATGGTACCGACATAAATATACGGCATACTCCAAAATAGTGTAAACGATTTTCTTATAATTAACATTTTAGCTGAATTATTACTATGTTATTAATGCATTTTTGTAGGACATATTGATACATTGTTTTCGGAAATAGATAGTGCCTTGTTACCAATATACCGGGCGTAAGGAAAACGCTCCCGAAACAAAGAAAGGGGGTAGATTTACCGATTCTGGATATAATACCACTAAATATATACATTTCGGTTTATTTATATCACAATGTTCATTTACTACAGCAACATTATCAAAAATAATAGTTATTTATTATTTTTCTAACACGCAATATAATTCATATTTAATAAATCAGCTGAACATGCTGTTGACCCGTGCGATGCTCTAGATACGTCGCTAGTAGGCATCAAGCCAGTGCGCCCGAGTCGCGCCCGCGCTGTCTATCGGCGGCGACCTAAGTGAGTTTTACTTAATGAAGATGTAGGACAGAAGGTTCTAAGTTGAATCAAATTTTAATTTGATTTGAATGTAAAGTTTTTAAATTCCCAAGTTGTGCACATGCTGAACTATTAATATATTCGGTTCGGTTTGCTATTGCGCATTTGATGAGCGTTTCTTGCGTGTTATTAATTCCTCTCGTTGTTTGTTATTTTATATGTTAGTAATACTAACGATTAATTTGTTTTAATTTTAGTTTAATTAAGGTGTTTATGATGCCTTATGGTGTACATTTACATACCCACGGGCGTATGGGAACATGGTGATGTGTTTGTCAGAAGCACATGGAAATGCTTCTCTTGTAACAGTTACAGGGGAAAGATTTCCTAACGTCCAGTATCCGTCTGAGTCTGATTCTCGTATAATGACAGCAGCTCCAGTAGCGGCTGGTGGTGGATGACCGGTGCATGTGTTAAAGTAAGAACGTGTTTTAAACTTAATCCGACGTAATCGCCGTTTAGGAATACGTACGGCGGCAAAGTTATTGAGGCATCCGGGTGGCCGGTCTGTATCTCACTGGTCAGTGTATAAAGTTTTACATTGCAATAGAATGCGACCCTACAAAACTCATAGGGTGCAAGCTTTAAGTCCAACTGATCAGCCTCGTCAACGGGAATATTGTCGTTGGCTACTTGATCAACAAGGAAGCGCTCCTGGCTTCGTTGAGCACATTATTTGAACGGACGAATCAATGTTTATTAGAAATGGCATGTGGGACAGAAGAAACGCTCACGTGTGGTCAGAAGTTAATTTACATGCCACCCATGAGATCGGCCATCAGGTTCGATGGTCCATCAATGTTTGGACTGGTATTTTTAATAATAGCATCCTTGGGTCAGTTTTTCTGCCGCGTCGACTCAATGGGCCGGGATACCTAAACTTCATCAACGAACATTTAATTCATAAGCTAGATGAAATACCACTGGCCGAGCTACGAGTATGGTTCCAACGCGACGGTGCACTACCACATTGTACGAGTGTACGAAATTGTACGAATAAAAGAATAACCACTGCCATAATTAATTTTATAGTATAATACATATATTTCGGCATCGGGAGCGGTCTCTTTACACCCTGTGCAGAAGTTACATTCTTAAAGACCATGAGAAATTATAGTACTAAAGAACCATTTCTTCTTTTGGAACAAAGTCTTTTCATAAATTATATAATGTATTTTCAATAAGGATGAGCCGAAAAAATTTCATTTTCGAGGCAAAGCTTTTACAGAATATGATCTTGACGTATAAAATTGACACAATAGTCTTTGTATTAAAAATAAAAAAAAAATATATAATATAATCACTCAATTCTAAGTATAAGACCATGATTTTTTATACATAGTAAACGATACGCTATAATAAAATATTAAGAACGTTCTTATTAAAAATACTGAACGGAGTACCGCAAGGCACTGTTTTAGGCCACGTAGTTATTATAATAAGCTAAGGCATAATACATAAAGTTATTTCTATAATTTATAGAGGCCGTATTGGTGATAATTGCCGTGAAAATATCTTCAATTTAAATTGAATTGAGTTGAAACATTGTTTTATTTAAATTATGTTCGTTTCTTAGGTTTTCACGCATATCACTCATTAAATAAAATAAGTTTTTAACGGGTTAGATGCAGACTACTACGATGAAGACTTTTTTGTCTTTCGAAGTCTTTCGAAGGTAGCTCGACAAAGTAAATAAAAATCATTATTCTGACGACGCATTCCTGGAAAGTATGCGAAACGTCAATAAATAAATAAACTTAGTGCATCTAAACCCGTTAAAAACTTGTTTTATTTATATGATGTTTTCACAACAACATTTTTTCTCATAATTAAAAATCTCTTGGGAATAAATCTATTTTCATCATCATTTTTTATTCCAATCAATATGAAGGCTAGAAGAAACCTTTGCCTTTTCAAACGTAAATCGATTGTGTTTGATCTAGATAGTTAATAGTAGAATAATCGCCAGCTTATTTGTCATCGAGCGCAAGCAATTATAGTCTCTAAGAACCGGACCAAAAACAGTACAGTTTGATTTTAAAATAACAAATGCTGGAAGAACGACAAGGCAAAGATTTACGCTAACGCTACTAAATTTTATGGAAATATCATGGGATCTATCTCTCCCATATCTTGGAAGGATACGCAAGACGAGAGTAATTCTCTAGTATCACTAGCATCTTTAAACTATGGTGGCTTCTTACTCTCAGGGGAGTAATAAGGGCGCTTGTTAACGAGACGATTTCTAAACGGATCTAGGCACGGTTTTAAACTGTGTTGTGAATCCAAATATAAAACCTCCTTTTTTGTATTACAAGGTTTTCCTTTTTGATAGTTTTTTTAAATATATTGTGTTGCCATGTTGACGCTTCCTGTTATTATAATTTACTTATTCCAGGAAATACAGTGAATTATTTAAATTTCATCCGCTTATTTAAAGATTTATTCAAAAACCGTATTTACGTTAGGTCCTCAGTTAAGTATGAGACACTATGGAAGTTTGTTAAAGACACCGGCGCTAACGACGTATAAACAGGGCTCGTTACAGGCTTAGCCGGTACCGACCCGGGTAGAAACCGTATTCAGACACGGCGGAAAATCGGTCGTTAACAAGTGCTTACATTTTTATAATAACCTCCTCTAAATATAAAAAAATCCCGATCAGTGGGTTAAAAAGAGGTGATATGTAAAGGTACTGTCCGACAGCCTGTATTGTCGCGAGCGCGGCGCAGCCGCGCAGGGTTGCTAAATGTATGAGAACTCTAACGTTTGTGATGTAGCAGTCTCTATACATGATACGAGGTAAATAGAAATCTCGTACACTTTGTGATGGCATAATGAAGCTGTACTTATTGAGTCGATCCTTTGTGGACTGGACATTTATTTACTTTCTGATAATATTTTTGGTTTGTGTACATAACACAAACAGTCAACATTGTTCATATTCATATCAAAGTGTACGAGATTTCTATCACCTCTTATCATGTACCTATAGACTGCTATATCCCAAACGTTACAGTTCTCATACGTTTGGCAACCATGCGCGGCGCGTCCGCGCCCGCGATAACACAAGCCGTCGGACCGCACCTTAAACGAGATATGCCTAAAATATGTATGTAATTTACTCGAATATTAATTGAACTTTCAAAGATATGGTAAGTAAGTTTTATAGGTAATTTTTTAAATAATTCGTGTTTACCCTAAAAAAATGTCTTCTTCTTCTTCTTTTAATATTTTACAAAAATGTGGACGAGTATACTATAAAATGGTTAAATAAACTCAAACAAACACTGACGAGTAAATTCTGGGAACAACAGAAAGTATCTGCCAATGTCAATGCATTTGACTGAATCCCTCTTTTCTAAGACAAAATGCTACTATCAGATACTTGCACAAAACAGTATGTCACTAAAATACACAAATTTTGATCACCATTTCATATTTCATTTAGCACCCTACTTGGGAAGTGTACAATAATATATATTACAAACAACGAAATTAAAATAAACTATATTCCGATTGGCATGAGTAATATTTTCGTAATGTGAAACAATCAATTTGGTTTCAAACAGCCAGTTAGATTATCCCTAGCCCTAAAGGCTTACTAAAAATCACATAATTTGGTTTATTGTGTTTTTAAATTTCAAACATTTAACTGCTAGATTTATAAATCTACAGAAAATATTCCACGCGGTCCAGGCCAGGCATCAGACGGGATTCGAACCAGCGCCTTCCGCAATTTACAGATTCTATAGATTATAATATATTTTGTATTTTGATCAGAATGTTTGTAAATTAGTAATACGAGACGAAACGTTCTGGATATTTGAAACCACCCTTTGAAATGATGATGATTTGAAAACTGTCAAAGTAAATCATCATATTGTATTCCAGAAAAAGAAAGACAATACATCATAATATCAAATAACAAAGTCATAGCATTTTTTTCAGAACATAGTTCATCTTAAAATCGTTTTAACATAATAAGGATAACATTATGTATTAATCTAGAAACTCCTAAATACTGAGACGGAATGACTTTTATATATATAGAATGAGAAACAAATAACGATAAAAAATTTCAACATTATTGTCCGTAATATAAAATTAACATGAATACTGTATTACAATATTTATGTTTAAATTACTAAAACTCTTTCGTTTTTGATGTGGCAACATTGTATTAAATCGAATTTATTAACAGGCAACATTATTTGGTGTTAATTTCATGTCTATGTAAGTCGCCGTGTTTAAATAATAGTTAGGGTATTATAAATTGTGATATTTAAATAAAACTAAAGAGTTACGAATAAACAAACTAGATACTTAATGCATATTTTTTACTTATTTTGCACGTAATAATTCATATATTGGTTGAATGTATATAACTCGCTTAAAATAGAAGGTTACATGAGAAAGATTGCCTCTAATGTATATTTACATAAATATTTCACTACTTTGACACGTAATTGATGAAATAAGGCATACAGTGGAATGTTTGAGGCCGGAATTCGAGCCCAGTGTAATATCGTACTTATTGTCTCTCATTTAAGATTGAAACTTGAAAGTCTATGCACCGTAACACTAGTGGAATGTTCATTGGATTTTGGAACCAATCACTTTACCTCGAAGTTTGGTTTCAGTTTGCGTCGCGCGCGCCTAAAGTTTTCGATTATGTACTAGAGATGTAGTACTTGCCCGTCGTCCTTTGTCGGAATGCTGTGAGGAAATGTTCCAGAAGGTTCGGGTTGGTCTTCCAAAGTGACAGCTGTGAGGTCTACTATTTCGTCCTGCTCGTCTTGGTCGAATCTGAAAGAGATGGAGGCGTGTACTTACAAGTTTATTTAGGTCTGATCTAATCAGTAAAATTTTAAGCCGAATCTTGGGTACTCTATTGGTGAACATACAAACCTTCACATTCTACTTTTACGTTTGTAAGTTTGTTACTTAATACCACAAAAACGAATGATCGGATCTGAACAAAATTTATCACACAAATATGTAATTTAAATATTATCTCGAACTTCTCCGTGCTTCGGAAGGAACGTTAAGCCATTGGCCCCGGCTTCCTATGCAAATTTTAGCATCCACCAATCTGCGTTGGGCCCGAGTGGTAGATAATGGTCCAATCTGCCTATTCCATCCCCACGAAGACTACACCTATGTAGAGCTATTTTAAATCTTTATTCGTATGTGAAATTCATAGTTTTATTATAAATACGAGTGTACGTATTTCTCACGTTACCTCCTTCACGCTTAAACTGCTAAACCGATGTAAATGAAATTTGGTAGAGTTTGGTCCTGGGATAGTTTTAACCTAGAAATCACCTTTTAAGTGGGCGTAAACGGGAGTCTAAGTTTGTATGGGAAAGTAATTTCAAAAAGTTTATTTATTTCAAAGTATTTTATATATTTGAATGCACATGTAGAAGCAGATGTTTTTAAAACTAGTGGCTTTCGTAATGGTATTAATTATTAAGTAAATGTTGTTGATATTGTTACCTATCTTCGTCGGGCTCGCTGTTTGGTTGCGAATGCCTTGACGTCGTATCCGGCGCTTGCGTGCGCTGATTGGCCGGCCTCACGGTGATGATCAGGTTCGAAGAGTTGGCTACCATCATGTCAGTCACCTTCAGGGAAAAATATTCAAGTCTAATTAGATATCAAAAACTAACTGATGCACTTAGATACGTAAATTATATTACTTCTTTATTACAAAACATGAAATAAAGTGAGGTTTGGTTTAAATATAATGCTGTCTTTGTCTTCTCAAACAAACATGACAGTTTTATTTTTAAACGGTTTATCTTTAGTCAATGTAAAGTAAAATTATAGTAGAGGTAAATCCAATCGGTCCAGTAATCAGACATTTTTTAGTACAACATTCTTTAGATTTATAAACCTACAATGCTTAAAAAATAATAATAAATAATGAGGGGGTTAAGATTGGATTAAAATTACCATTGGTGTCGATTCTGGCAGGTTTCTCTTAACCTAAACTTAAATTTGACAACAGTGTATCCTTGTCATTCTCTATACGGAATGAAAATAACTGACGGATAGACTGTTGTTAAATTTAGTTTTAAGTTTAGAGAATCATGCCAGAATCGGAACCAATGCCCCCCGCCCCGGCTTAGCACTGATGAAATTTATTTTAACGCAATAGAATAAAACTTATGTCACGCAGGAATATAGAAGTTTCCTACTGGTTTTTATTATCGGTATCGGTTACGGGAATTACTTCCAAAAAAACTCATAAACTTACAACTTTACCTCTATTAAAAAAAAATAGAGAATAGTGGGGATTTCTAGACTAAATGAAAACAATCGTTGTGATTCGATGTCGCATTAAATTTAATTGACATCTCCGAGTGCAGCGTCAAGTCTTTTTTATTGTATTTGTATTAAAGCATTAACTTAACCGTTAGATGTTTGTATTTTAATTTGTTTTCACTACACTCAGTTCACGGGAAAGAGTTAGTGGAGCGCTTTCTTTATCACACAATCGCTTACAAAAGACAAGTATGGAAAACTGTGTCGCAAGAGACGAGAGATGTGGCTGTGATTGGCGAAGTAACGGCAACACAGTCCTAGTATCGTTACTACTGCCAGTGACAGAAAAGTTGGCACTGACTCATTTCAATTAATAAGTATAGAAAAAATTCAAGACGTCTCAAGAACCAGAATTAAAACGAACGAACGTCCTTAGTACGAAAGGTTAACGGGACTATAATAGGTGGTATAATGGTTCTGCATACAAACAAGCAAGCAACTTTCGCAGTGGTCGGTCATTGGATGGGTGACCAAAAATCTTCCATCTCAAGTTCCTCAGTGCTTTGAAAGGCATATTAAGCCGTTGGTCCCGACTGCCTCTCCAGACGTTAGCACCCGCCAATCCGCACTGGGCCCGCGTAAAGGCCTGGACTTAGTCCCAGCAATGGGAACATTAATAGGCTGACGATGATGATACATATGAGTTTTATACTCTTGCTGCACGATCGAGGCTTTCTATACTGATTAATGGACGGCCCCTAGAACGTTGTCGATGTAATCTAAATGGCGCGGTTGCCTAGAGAGCGGTTATTCTTCTTAAGGTCTTTTTGCGTCCGAAATATTACGGCCACTATATAACGGCACCGCTATCCTAGAAAATAAGAACTTAATCTCACCTGATCGAGCGTCTTGTTGGACACATCGATTCCATTTACTTCCAGCACCTCATCGTTGACGCCCAGCAAGCCTGTGGATTCTGCTAATCCACCCGGCACCAAACGAGATATGAAGATACCGGGCGATCTTTCCACACCATTAGGAGTGACCCGAACTGATGTACCGTCCCTGAGAGAGAAGATTAAGCCGCGTATCGTGAACAGGTAAAAACATCTAAAATAAACAATGCTGTAGGCAGGCGGACTGCATTTCAACGGAATTCTGACTGTCAAAATGCAGTTTCAATGTAGTTGGCACAATTTTTCAACTGGCAACTACCCGGCGTGCAGTCCGATTGCAATCAGTTTGCAGTTGTCAGCACGAATGGTCGGTAGATTCATTGGAGTAGTGCCAACTGAGGTCCAAGCAAGAATTTTGACAGCTCCGTAATCATAGTGTCATCGTCAAATTTGTATAGAAGGAGCCGATTTGTCATTACATCCGATAGTTTCATAGAAACTTTGACAATGCGATGCAATACGATTATACGTACTTGGGATTCAACATTGACACTGCAATTTTGCAGTCAGAATACCGTAGAAATGCAGTCCTTCTGTCTAGAGCCTAATTGAAATGAAATGAAATCTTTATTGGCCATCTTAACAAAAGAAAACTTATAAATAAAACAATAGAAGAAAACTTAACCTGAAGAACAAAAAATACAATAACTACATCTAAAACGGCAAATCAGCGCTGGTATTCTAGCAGGACCTAATGACGATGGAACATAAGGGCGTCTTTCATAACCTTAAATGGGAGGGTGCCAAAGACGTTTTTTATATCCAGCGACACTGCCACAAGACATTCTCTTCTGTTGCTGCGAATGGCGCTGGAGAGTTAACACGGTGACGATTGTGGAGGGTTTCTTATCGGAAACCAAATTGGTTACTGGATATTTTCAGCCCCACCGACTCCAACCCCCTTATTAATAAACCGAGGAATAAATAAATAAATATTACCAACATTCACACCAATTAGCCTAGCCAAAAAAGTAACAACTATAAGGCTTGTGTTATGACATACTAGGGTAACGGATACAATACATATACTGATACATGACTAGAGTACAAATGCTCGTATTTATCACACAACCATCTGCCCCCACCGGGATTTGAACCCTCTCGAGTCGGCGACACCATAAAACCTGGCCTACAAACCACTCGGCCACGGAGGTCGTCATAAAGATAATTCTAAAATCAAACTAACCTTTACTACAACGACTTAGAAATAATATAGAATACGAACTGCGCTAAAATGTGGTTTCTAGCAAAGTGCGATCAGGTGGACGCGACAACGCCGCGTCGTCAATAAATAAGAAAAGAATAAGCTCACTAGTTACACCGTGTTTTGTTCATATCACTCAAACGCCATTTATCATTCACTAGCGGCCCGCCCTCGTTTCGCTTCGGTATAGAGCTGAAGTGTAAACTACAGTTTTTGTTCTCAGGCTTGTATTATATACACAATGACATTCATCTATGATTCTTCTTATACCTGCATGCAAAGTCTCAGTCCGATCGGTTTAAAATTGACAAAGTTTCATACAAACTTTCATTCCCTATTTTATCCCCTCGGAGGTAGAATTGACCATAATCCTTTCTTAGCGGATGCCTACGTCATAACTTTTACCTGCATGCCAAATTTCAGCCCGATCCGTCCAGTGGTTTGGGCTGTGCGTTGATAGATCACTATGTCAGTCAGTCAGTCACCTTCTAGTTTTATATATATAGATTTGTTTAAAAGTTCATTATGGATGATCTTATACTACAAAACAGCCGATGTAAGCATTATAATATTGCGTTAATATAACCGTGTAATTTAACCCGAAAAATTACTTTAAGGTAATTTTATTTGGTTAACTGTTATCGTTGCTATATAACTCGGTAGAAGATTTTTAATAATATGTTTGTTTAGTAAGTACATATTTTCAGCTTCGGCGGTTATAAAAAGAATATTTGCCACTGACCTAATGAAGAAACCAAGCGGTCTGTCGGAGCCATGTTTCAGTAATTTCACCCTCCTGCAAGTCTCCGGTACAATGTCCACGTCGATGATCGCTGATACCTAAAATAAATAAAAGTTATGAAGTTTTCTCTGTGGTTTCATATAGTGAGCTTTCATATCATGATATTTTAAGGATCTATAATGAGGATTATCGGAAAAGTTGTGCACTTGGTATCAGAACTGAGACGAGAGGTCGACACTTTAGAATTGCACGACTATCGATGTTTAAGCTTCAAAAAAATTCACAATATCGATGGGCCTGTCGATTGTATCGATAATATTGATAGTATGAAAAACGATACTATTGATAAACATAAATACTATCGATACTATTCCAACGATACTGTCGATAGTTCAATTTATTGCTCCAACGCTACCACCTCTCTCAAATAAAACTAATAACATTATTATTTGTTCAGTAAGTTAAGCACAGGTACCTTTCACTTGTGTACTTATTTCATTTTGAGCTCTGAACCGTAATTTTTGAAGCATTGTCTTTTTTTATTTACAATTCAAATGTTGGATTTAATTGCAAAATGGGATTCTCTACCCATCAATCCGAAAGAATATGCAGAGCTATCGAAAAGGCAGAAATATAAAACGAATTTTTCATTACAGTGCAAATGTCATCATTTACCATCAAGTGTAAAACAATTAGTATAAGTAGAGGTATTAAAAAGGCTAAACATTTAGTTTTTTCAATGCATCTCTATCCAGGTCACCGTGGTGCAAAATTTAGTCTATGAACCTTATTCTTAGTCTAAAAAACTACGAAACCTGTGTTATTTTACAGGTTTTCATTTTAGTTTTAAGGGTAAATATTTTTGGCAGTTGACAACACTTATTTGTGGTAGCTTACCATTCTGAAGTCGTGAGGATTGGAGATCGCGAGTCCTTTGTTTTTAGCCGGCGTGCCACTTAGTATCGAGGAGATGATGTTGCGTCGACGCATCGTGCCGTACCCATTGAGTTCTTCGAGGCTGTCACCTAAAAACAAATTGGTTGCTTCATCAGTCATCATCATCACGACAACGTACATCACACTACAAGCCAGTGAGTTTGCTAGCAGCTTGTAAACTCGCCCCGTGTCATCGAGGCTTTCTTTCATAAAGATCGCTAGGTGTTCGGTTGGTTCTCTCACCATGAATGAATTAAAATTCACATTATGACGAGATTTCAACCGTGCGACTCTCAGGGAGAACTTCGCCTTGATCCGCAGATACTCTGCGATCTCCTCTTCCTTCGTAGAGTAATGCAACCGGGACACGTACAGCGGCGTCGTTGGTATGGCGAGACGCAGCAGATGGTTCGGTCCGGTCGGGGCAGCACCACACAGGTTGCGGCGAGCGGACTTCCTCTTCAATGGGCTGAACACGTAGCCATTGCGGTGGAAAGGCTCTTGAATGACGAAGGTCCCCTATAAGATGGACCGACGATCTTGTGACGGTCGCGAGAAGCCGAAGGATGCAAGTGGCGCAGGACCGATCGGTGTGGAGATCCTTGAGGGAGGCCTCTGCTCAGCATTGGGCGTCGTATGGCTGATATGATGATGATGAATAGAATAAATGAAAAATTATTCTTGTAGTTGTTAATATATTTATAGAATAACTGTACAACGTATTCTATGGAATATAATGTACGGTTGAGCAAGATTTGAGTTATATTATGTATTTGGATAAAATTCCACAAATATAGTTCCAATTACAATGCTTTAAAGGTGACATAAATGTTGGTTTGTTCCCATATACTGGCGTGACCTCGGCTTTGCTATATGTATTGGATTCAATTGAAATTGTAATCAAATGAGTAATGTTACAATCGGCTACTGTTCAAGTACGAGTATGTATCAATGAATGCAGTTGGACATTTCCATATAGGATTGATTGCCATAAAAGTTTGTACCTACGTTTGGAAACATGGTCTTGTTAAATACCAAATCCATTATGTATTTAAATATAAATATTTCCAACAATAACACCAAGTAGCCTAGCCCCAAAGTAAGCACTGTAAGGCTTGTGTTATGGGATACTAGGGTAACGGATAGAATACATATATACTGTACATATATAAGTATATTTATTTAGAAATACATATTAAACATCCATGACTGGAGTACAAATGCTCGTATTTATCACACAAAGACCTTCCCCCACAGGGATTTGGACCCGGGACCTCTTGAGTCGGCGACACCATGAAACCCGGGATACAAACCACTCGGCCACGGAGGTCGTATATACAAAGTACCTGTGTCTCCCATGTGCTAGGTACGCTTAAGCTACTAATTCGTTTTCGACAACTTGGTAGAGAACTAAATATTAGTCCGTACCAAATATGGAAATGAAATAGGAAAAGGGTATGGATAGTTAGATTTCCAAGAGGTGAAATAGAGTGCGAAAGATGATGATAAACAATATTTTTCTATGAATACGCAGAAGTATTTTTTAATAATTTATTTATGTCAAAAGTTCAGACAGGCAATTCAATTTGGTCGGAAAATTCCTCTCCTATTAATATCTCTTTTAAAGCGCATGTTTACGAGGCGATTTCCACACAGGTCTAGGCACGGTTTTAAACTGTGTCTATGTGACACTATTGTAATGGAGGTTTGTTAATGATGCCGGTGCTCTTTGGAGTCGGTATAAACGTACAAACCGTGCTCGTGAACAAGCTTAGCTGGCACCAGCCCAAAAAAAAAGAAACCGCATAAAAACCTAGGTATTATACCTAGGTAAAATAAGGTATATTGTTAATATGGCATCGTACACACATAGTGTAACTCGGAACCGGCGTCAGCGGCGTTAATTAGACGCAGATAGCTGAGTATCGTCACGCGACAACGAGCAGGCAGAGCTTAATTAGGTCGAATCTAACTCTATACGGTCAGGTGCACTGTGCTCTCCGACACAGCATACACCCAAATGTGTACCTTAGCCATAAAATTTCAAGGAATGTTTTATGTTGTTATAATTTTTCCATGTGTGTAATAATGATTACATTTTGAAGGCATTTCCTGATTTTGACATTTTAAACGTGTATCCGAGTTTCTACGCGTTGTTTGTGAACGATTTTTGCTGCGGGGCGCGGTGATGTTGTTGATATAATGATTACGTAATTTAAAGGGTTACGAAGGTAAAAGGAACCCTTTGTTTCACTATGTTCGTCTGTCATAAATTTATGAACCATGTAAAAATATGCCAACAAAAATTAAATCATAACAACCAAAATAGCAATAACTAGCAAACCAGTGAACCAAATGTTCACCAAAACCTGATTTAAAAAAAAATTAATTGAGAACTTCGGAGATTTTGTGTGGTTTCGTTTGAAATTCGTGATTTCTCGAAAACCGGAAGTGCTACGTTACTCAAATCTGGTTTGTAGTCTTATCAGACTATTCTGAACTTATAACTTAAATATTCTCTTTATCTATCTCTTACGGTTTGGCCGCTGAAACAGCACCACAGACGGACGGACGGACTTGTCTAATAGATAAGAGATTTATAATACTGATTGTTAACGCTTAAACGTGTTGCAGGTTGCATAGGACGACTCTTGGCAATATCGGGCCATATGTCTATTGGCTGTGCTCGCACGAGCGCCGAGACCTAGATACTGTTCAAACATGGGTTTCCGGGTGGAAATGTATCTGTACTTTGCGATTTGCGCTTTGTGACGAGTTAACAATCAATCGTAGATTGCGCGTGGTGCGACACACCCTTGGCTAGTACCTAATGATACATTGTGCTTTTACTATTAACGAGGGAAAAGTTACCTTCTAGCGCATCTAAAATTAACCTATCATTATTAGATCTCTCATTTGAATAAATACAACGTTTGCGTGGTAATAATAGAATGAGCTGTGAGCAAATATTACAGTTACGGTAATCACTGTACCCGCCTTATAAAGAGTGGCAATTTAATAGAAACTTTATTATCGTCAAATTAATAGTCAATTCAATGAACGTTGAAATTGGTTGCGAGCGGTGCTGCGGCGTAGTTAAGAATGCGCAACCTCGGACGCGCATCAATCGTAGGAAGCAATAATTATCATAGAATGTGTCGTAGAATGATTAGAAAAAATCGATCGTTTTCGCGAAATCCTAGGGATTTCGAAAACCTCGGATAATTGGACAATGGCGATGACTCTTATTAATCTTTCCGGAAAAATTATAGGATGAATGAATATTTGGCTTATGACAAATATTCTTGGGTTCACACTAGGTTAAGTTGGTGTTGTAACCACGACGCGCGAGCTGAGCGAACGTAGCGTACGAGTTACGGCAGCTGCCGGCAAAGCACCAGAAAAAAATTTCGTTAACATTGTTTAAGATAAGGTATAAAATCTTAGTATTTTCGCGAAAATTCGATTTATCAAATCATCCTACGTCTTAAGTGGAGTCAACCCGGTGGTCAATCGCCTAACGTCAATACTATGGCTATCGCTATAGCTTACGATTTTGTTTAGTCATTTCTGACCGCCGAAGGTTTTTAAATAACTTACAACTCATTTTCTTTCATATTGTTGTTATCAATACAAAAGAAAAAAAAGAGCGTAGAGCGTTTGAAAACCTTCGACGGTCAGAAATAACAAAATAAAACCGAAAGCGATAGCAATCCCGATACGCGATTGACTCTAACTGATATTTTTGTGTCATTCATTACTTATGGTCGAAAAATTCCAAATTTTTAAATTTTCTAATTATGAATACAAGATATTATTGTACCACACATTAGAAGAATTTTATGGTAGGTCCAACAGATAGAAAATTTTATTTACATAGAAGTAGGTAATGTTCAGTTTTATGTTGTTTCTGCTAGATTGCAAGTCTTTCAAATGGATACAACAGGGAGAATGGATGGGTCTACTGGGTGTTAATGAATGTAAAAGGGGCTTAACTTCCACCATCGCATCGCAGTATGAAGCCGCTTGATTGCTAGGCGTTATCTGGGAAACTGGCTAACAGGCTTTCAGCCAACTTGTACCGCAGTGACAAATAGGCATAAACATGGGGAAAAATTGACATGAATGTGGTGACAAATGCAAGCATGGTGGCTGCAAGTAGACTGTGAGCAGTTTTTGTTTCCTGAGTCTTTCCATGTCAAGGTTACCATTACCATTAACCAACGATGATTTGTTCATTGCTATAAGGAATTCCATAAAACAAATTTATAATCTACAGGTTGATGTCCTGTCAATCTTTTTCCAAGGTCATAAAAAAGCAATAAGATGTTAATCTATCTATTTATCTATACAAAAAATCACTTACCTTTCCTTTGAATGATGACTCTGAGCAAAGGACGGGCTGTGAGCAGCGCTCGCGCCAAATTATCATCATTGTTAATGGGTAGGAGGTCTCCATCCCTTGGGTCAGTGTATGAGATCAGGAAGGCCACATCATGCAGCCTGTGCAATTTTTCAATTAGACCTTTGAAGTCTTCATACTTTAACTTTTCTGTGCGACTCAGAGAAAACCGACGGAATTCCGCATCAAACTAAAAATGAGTTTAGAGTATTTTGTAAATACCTGTGTAAATATAAAGCTTAATAGTAAATATATATCATCAAAATTACCAGTCAGTTTTAGATTAGACTATAGGCAAAGATCATTATTTTATATTCATCAATATAGAACTGGAGAATAATATAGGTTTTTCCTTACTAAGTATATTAATTTTACTATTAATAACAGAGATTACAGACAGAAAATTAATGTTAAATGTAACCCACATATTGAGCTAAAAATGAAATAATAATCATTGAACAGATAGTTTGTCTTGTAGACTCGTTTTGATGCAGGCTGTCACTAAAGAATATTATTTACTGTAATATAATTATTGTACATTTATTATGTCATGTCTACAGTAATGATTAAATAAATATATGATGCAATTTATAGAGCATATACATCCAATATGCAGTCACAATATATACTTATAAGATAAGTCTTTTAAATTGTAATTATTGTCATTTGCAAATTCAACGCAGGAAAACTAATCAAGGTATGAACTGAATAAAATTGTCACAAATTAGAATAAAAACTAATTTTGAATATTCCTCTACTATAATTCAATAAATGAAGTTGTGATAATAGGCTTAATGATCCAGTATCAATGCTGTGTAACAGCAATAGAAATCTTTCGACGGACCATTGAACTGATCAGATTAAAATATAGTATTCAAATTATTCAAACAATGGGTTAAGTGTTCAGTCTAACCAGTCCTTAGATATTGACAAAAAATAATCATTGGGATTTCTTTTATTGAAGCAGCAAAATAAAGATTAGTGACAACAACTGATAATATAATTGTTCAATTTCAATATGAAGAGAATCATTACCATTGGTATTCACTACATAGAGGAAATGTAATCATGGCTTTGTTTATCACATAGACAAATAACAATTATAGGTACCAATCATTGCCTTCATCATTAATAATTATTCTTCCTCTATAAATTTCCAGTTATAAAAAAATTACCAAACATGATTAATTACCTTAGTTTTGACTTCAACACTTTGACTATCAATTCGTGCCGCTATCTTGTTCTTCGACATCTCGAAAGCATTTATTATAATAATAATATTTCTATTAAACTAATCTTAACAGGATTTAGGCACTTAATTTCAAACACAGCATTGTAAAATAAATAAAAAAAATATTAATTAAAAAAATGATTTTCAGAACGTTCAACTCGCGTCGTAATTTGACAGATGTTTCTCATTGCTCACATATTTTGTACATTACTAATATTGCACCAATCGTTGATGATCTATCCACAGCAGTTTTCAATTTCATTGGCTAAAGTTGAAAACGTAGGGCCAGTGAAAACTTTCCTGTCTAAATCGTTCCATTTTGTGCATATTTTATATTCAAAGTCGACATAAAATTCTAAGTATTTAAATTCAAAGAGTAATAATAGACTTTTATTTTCTATTATTTTAGTGTTGGATAAAATCAAATTTTATAATAGCTTTCGTTCAAAATCCAGTTGCAAATGAGAAGACGATTCGTCATAAATTGTATTATACTTATATTATTTAATAAGTGTCCGTTGCCTTGTATGTAGGATTATTTAAAATATAGAACGAAGCTAATACAAGGGTTGCCGAAATTGTCTGTTTGAATAACATCGATATTTAAACAAGAAGATCATTCGCAAGCTAATTAAGAATAAGATCATGAATTCAAATGATCGTCTTAATTTAGCAAAAAAATAAAACAATCATTAAAATCTCAATGGTCATCTTTACCACACAAACAAAGCCACTATTTATTCAACCAAAACACAATCGATGAACATTTTTACTGAAAAATTGAGCTGAGAGAGCAACCAAACCGACCTGCGGTAGCGGCCGGCGAAATATCAGCCAAATACTATTAATAAAGTGAATAAATACCTTTTCAACAAAAAATATAATTAAAGTGTCAATGTCAACTCTTGGGCGCTGTACAATTTTACCATACTAACATTAAACACCTTTATATTTTGATTTTTTAACATGTTTACTGTGATCCTCAACTCCCAATCTCTGCCAGGGGCCTTCAAGCAAGCAAAAGTCATCGCCTTGCTTAAGCCAGGCAAATCAGCGGATGATCCCACGAGCTATCGCCCGATTGCGCTCCTCAGCAACTGTTTCAAGCTTCTCGAAAGGATAGTGCTGGAACGCATAGCTCCTCTGATCAACCAGGTCATCCCTGTAGAACAGGCGGGCTTCAGGACTGGTAGGAGCTGTAGTGACCAGGTCTTGGCTCTAACCACCCACATAGAAGCGGGATTCCAGAAAGGTTTAAAGACAGGTGCCATCTTCGTAGATCTAAGCCTACGACACAGTATGGAGGGGCGGACTGCTTCCCAAACTACTTAAAGTAGTCCCAAACATGAATATGTTTCGCTTGGTCGCCAACATGTTGTCTGGACGCGTATTCAGAGTGCACCTCGGCTGCAAAGTGAGCGACACAAGGGTACTCTCCAACGGGTTGCCTCAAGGGTCGGTTCTGGCGCCCACCCTCTTCAACCTTTACATCCACGATCTACCTCGCACCAGCGCCAGGAAATTTATTCATCTGCCTCGCACTACAGAGCAACAAATTCAGTACGCTGGAAACAGGCCTGTCCGAAGATGCTGCTACAATGTCCCGCTATTTCAAGCTGTGGCGTTTGACTCCAAGCACGAGCAAAACCAAAGTCAGCTGTTTCCACCTACACAACCAACTTGCAGATCGCGAGCTCAAAATAACGTGGGACGGAAAACTATTGAACCACAACCGGAACCCGAAATACCTGGGAGTTTCGCTTGATCGGTCGCTCACTTTTCACAACCACCTGTGTCAGACCTCTCGCAAACTGCAGACCCGTAACAACATCTTGCACAAGTTGGCTGATACCTCCTGGGGAGCAAGCGCGGATGTCCTACGTACTACTGCACTGTCACTCGTGTACTCAACGGCGGAGTACTGTGCAGCAACTTGGCTGAATAGTGCCCACACGAACAAGGTAGACGTCGAACTTAATAAGGCCATGAGGTGCATCTCAGGAACAATCAAATCGACCCCAACACACTAGCTTCCCGTTCTGTGCAATATAGAGCCCCCAGCCACTCGCCATAAACTGGCCCTTTCTAGAGAGGTGAGGAAGATCAAAGCCAACGCCGAACTACCTATACGTGAAGAATTCTTGCTGAAAAGTTCACCCCAGGAGTGAGGCCAGCAGGCTTTGATCTACCCAGGCGAGAGTGGTGCCTCCTCAACAGACTGCGGACGGGTCACGGTCTCTGTGCCCACTACAAACATCGATGCGGATGGATCGACTCGCCCCGATGTGAATGCGGTGCCGACGTACAGACCATCCAACACATCGTACAGGAGTGTCCCCTTACCAAATACGATGGTACGATGGAGGACCTGGTCTCCCTCGATAACGACGCTGCCAATTGGCTAAGACATTTAGATTTTAAAGTCTGATTCCTGTGACAAGACAATGCCATACGAATAAATAAATAAATATTTTGATTTGACTTAAGCGTGGCGTGGCGTCGCGTTTCTAGTCAATAAGTCTGTTTCTACCTTAATGGGTTTCCTCTATTTGACAGAATCTTTTTTGCTACGAAATTCGTTTATCTAATACAGTGGGACCGATTCTGGCGTTACATTCTCTAAATCTAAACTTTAAATTAGAGAGCTAATTTTAGTTTAGGTTTAGAGAATTGGTATTCTGAAATTGTGGACTAACTAAATTAAGAACACAGTTGACAACTGTAAACGAGCATCTAAATTGAATTATTTTGTTATTAAAAAATCTGATGCTTTTTCTCACTTCATCTTAGTAAATAAGTTTTATTAAATAAAAACTTTTTTTGCTCACTCTACCTATTTGGTTTGAATTGACAGCTATGAATTCACAATATGGCGCCCAGTCGGTCCTATTCTTAGTTGAATTGCATTATACTCTGTGGTACTTAGGGTTTTTAGATTGGGAGTGTTTATCCTTATTTTGGGTAAAAATATGAACTTGGGGAAATGAAATCTGCGGGGAGAACTTTAGGAATCATATTTTTTCTTAGAGCATGCCTAACTAATTTTTTTTGGCAAAAGGATAGCGAAAGCCACCACTTTTAAAATGAAATGCAAATATAGGTACAAACTAGATTTTAGTACCTAACAAGTCTATTGAGGATGATAAAAGACGAAAGACCGTGTCGAGTCCGAGCTGAGCTTCAGCCGTAGCACGGTCACCGAGCCGCTCCCGTACCTGTAATTTACAAAGACGGGCAATTAGGTAGGTACCGTTGCGCCGTGCTGAGTTTCTTGCCGGTTCTTCTCAGTACAAGGTCTTCCGCCGTAGTTTTGCGAACCGATGGCGTAGCTTCTGACCTTCACAAGTGCTTGTAACAGCCTAGACTGAATAAATGACATTTCATTTCACCTCCGTAGGTCCTTCTCAAATTTAGTCATTTCTAATTTTAGAGATATTATGACATTTAGAACGCGTTTCAGAATACCAAATAATCACCTAAATCTAGGTTGAATAACTTAGCAACGTCAATTTTTAATTTAGAGATAGAGTGTCATTACAGAATACCAAATTGAATTTGTCAAGTCTATATCTAATTTTAGTTAGTTTTAAGTTGTTAAATCAAGCTGAGTCTACAGGAGCACCCATTTCTATGGGCGTGCCCCAGGGTTCAATATTGAGCCCATTGCTTTTCCTTATTTATATTAATGACCTTCCTCACTTTACAAGAGATTTGTGTGAGACAGTACTATTTGCTGATGACACCTCTTTAGTGTTTAAAGCTAGGAGAGGAAATGATTGTTATTAAGTAGTTAAGTAAATTGTGCTCTCTCCGAAGTCCTTCACTGTACGGTAAATAATTTAAAACTAAACTCTACTAAAACAAAATGTGTTAAGTTTACTTTATCTAATGTGAGGCAGGTCAATACTAGTTTAAAAATAAATGACCAGCCTGTAGAGTTAGTGGATTCTACAAAGTTTCTGGGTATTACTTTAGACTCGCATCTGCAATGGGATCCTCATATTGATGCCTTATCAAGTAGACTGAGCTCTGCGGCTTTTGCTGTTAAAAAAATAAGACTTCTAACTGATGTGGAAACGGCAAAATTGCTTTACTTTGGTTACTTTCATAGCGTTATGTCATATGGCCTTTTGTTGTGGGGCTCAGCTGCTAATATAGAAAGTATTTTCGTTCTGCAAAAGAGAGCTGTTCGCGCCATATATAATTTAAAGGCAAGAGAATCTCTTAGAGAAAAATTTAAAGAAATTAATATTTTAACACTGGCATCGCAATACATTTATGAAAATTTAGTATATGTAAGAAAAAACTATGACGCATTTGCAAAAAAAGTCAAACCCATAACTTTAACACGAGATTTAAGAATAAGCTTGCCGTTCCATGTTTCAGACTCCAAAAATCAAGAGGTTCATTTCTGGGATGTAGTATTACATTGTTTAACAAAGTTCCCCAAGATCTGATTGAGCTTCCACTAACCAAATTTAAATCTCAGATTAAGAATAATCTTATGAATAAGGGCTATTATAAAGTTAATGATTATTTAAATGATCGAAATGCATGGACATAGTATTTCTTGTAATTTGTTATTTGATGGGTATGAGTCAGTTTTTGTGACAGTAATATGGTACCTATCTAATGCCGCTTCCTATATACTAAATATAAAATTTATTGTAACTATATATCTATTCCTAAATAATGTAATGGAAGGTGACTTCAGAAGTAACTCTGAAGTCATTTTTCAACCTGACGACTCTGTATATATGGAGAAAAAAGCAGCCCTTGCTGAGATTCTTGCCGGTTCTTCTCAGTACAAGGTCTCCCGCCGTAGTTTTGCGAACCGATGGCGTAGCTTCTTGACCTTCACAAGTGCTTGTAACAGCCTAGACTGAATAAATGACTTTTCATTTCATTTCATTTCATATAAGTTGGCACGCCAGAATTGGGCCCACTAAGCATAATTTTATACAATTATTTTTAGGCAAATATTCTTAGCCGAATGTCTATATGTCCGAATTCACAATGGCATATTTTTAAGATTGCAGAATTTTAATAAACATTTTATATTAAGCAACCTTTGGCTGGCATAATTAGATTCTGCAAAATAGGCTATTTGTTCCGTTTGATATCCGGAATCATCTTGAGTCA